AGGAGTTTCTTAGGATGAGGAAATGGGCTACAATCAAGCAAGGGATGGTAGCTGGCACCATCCCCACCCTCCCCCTCCCCCACTGGAAGCGACCTGCTGGACCCAAGCTCCTGAGGAAAAAAAAAAAAATACTGTAAAAAGACTTCTGGCTTCACCAAGACACATTAAAGAATTAATTATAAAGTAAAGCTGAAGGAGAAAATTAATTTTAGAAACATAAGAGGTTACAATTTTTTTTTCCTGGAGATGGGGGAGGAAACACAGTTATTTTCGTTTGCATCCTGGGGGCACAAGCTGGGAGCTGTCCAGTCGATAACCTGGCCATCAGAACAAGGTTTGTAATTAAAAGGTCAGTGACCTGGAAAGCCGGGGCCTCACTCCCAGGGCTTCTCAGTAATGACGGAGCTATTAAATTAAGACTGTTATGAAATCAATGCTAAAAAAGCTTTCATGGTAACGAGATTCCATTCAAGGACATGCAAACTACCTCGTGAAATGGACTTAAATGATAAAAAAGAAAAGTAATAAAAGAGAGTTAAATTGAAATCTGTGTTAGAATTTACTCCCCCTTAAAACACTGCAACGAGAGAAGCCTTTCACCTCTACCCCACGACCAAGGTTGAGGCCGTCAGATTTCTTCCTCAAGTTCATTTCCAGCAAGGAGGCAGTTTCTACTAGGGGTTCAGCTTCCAGGAACCAAAGAAAGATAAGCTCTAGTTTCACCTCTTAGAATGAGAAAGTAAGGTGATGGTGGGCTCTGTTTGGTTGGTTTTCTTCTCCCTGCCACCCCCCCGGGACTATTTATTAGAGGAGGAAGAATAAAGCCCTTGACTCACATTTGGCGGGTGGGGGGACAATCAGCAAGGGTCAGCCAATGCCACCCAGGCCCCTCTCTTTTTTCCAGCGGTCCCCTTTGTACCCACCCACTGCCATCGAGTCGGATCTGACTCTTAACGACCGCTCCTTGGGTTTCCAAGGTGGTATCTCTACAGAAGTAAATTGCCCAACCTTCCTTCCGAGGAGAGGCTACTGGGTTTGAACCACCAGCCTTCTGGTTAGCAGTCAAATGCCTTAGGCACTATGCTATCAGAGCTCCCCTCTTTGTACCAGATATGGTTAAAGTGAGTTAGTCAACAGACAAGTCTATCTTCTCCTCATCTCATCCATCCTTAACCTCCACACTTGCCCCACCCCCCACATTCTCCCTCCCACTCCCCCAAGAAGGCATCACTTTTACCCACTTTATATTCAGCCTGCCAAGCATGTTTGGAAGCAGACTGCTTTGTGGTCGGATAGGGTGTCAAATCAACATAAGCCTACTGACAACAATTTCCAAAGCTCTAACTTTCTGGACTGGCTCTATTGCTCAGTTTTTCAGTTAATCTTACCTCCTGGACTGCAGCCTGCTTAAAGGCTCAGATCTGATGCCTGCCTGGCAAGAACTGCCTCTATATATAGGCCAGTCCTGCGAGGGTTTAAACCCCACACACAGGCCCATTCTCTTCATGTGTGGCTGACTCTGCAGCTATGTGTCATCTGCAGAATCAAGTGGTTGGAAGGAAAACAAAAACATGTATTCGTGTACTCTGAAGGTGAACAGCTGCTTTTCTCTTTCATCCAAAAACTTCTCGATAAAAGGAAGAAATGTTGTAAATTACACAAAATGGCAGTACAAACTTCAAAGAAAATGATAAATGATTCTAATAACTTCATGTTTCTCATTAATGACTCCATATTCAGACTTTAAAGCATCCAAAAGAGACTCAAAAAAAAAAAAAAAAAACATGAAAGACCTTTGCAAATGGATGCTCTTCTGTCCCTACCCGACTAACTCCCCACTAGCTGAAATAGCCACTCCCACCCCCATTTCCCCAGCCCCTGAAATCAGAGAGTACAACACAAAACCTGTCACTAACTGAGGCAGGATGCAGCCTCTGCTCCCGGCTGTGGTTTCACAATAAAACAAACTCCACTGACGCTCCTAAAGTAACCCTCATTTTCCACTGAACTGACATGCACTACAGGGACCTCAATTTCTATATTAAACATTAAATAATATTAAAAGAAAAACAAAATTGGATTTGCCTTTTCAGGAAAGAAATGTTTATTAAAAAAAAGAAAGTCAAAATTATAATTCAAGTCAGTGTTCCATTGCAATTCCCTGAAGTGACATTTGCTAGGAAAAGCCAAGACTACAGTAGCTGAGAGCTCCTCTGAAGCCACGGCGCCAAACCCACCCTGCAAAGAGTCCTGGGGAGAGGGTTCCAGGAGTGCAGATGCCAAAAGCACGGTCCCTTCCCCTCAACATACCTCCACCCCAGCGAACAGTGAAAGAGCCAACTCTCAGTCTGTCCATGCCTTACTACTAACCGGGGCAAGAGCCCCTCCTCTAGCACCCCCATCAGGGACGGTGCCAAGCTACTCTGATAATGTAAGCCTGACCCAAGGAACAGCCGGAAATTAAAAAAGTGAAGTTTAAATCCACGGAGGGGCTCTTCTTCCCTAGACGCCTATCAAACCTTGGAATTCTCTGCCCAGAAAAGGTCCTGCCAGAACTTACCCTACTGGGATTCAACTCGGAAATGGATAATTACTGACTGAAACAGCATTTTAGAGGATAATGGAGATGGGTGATTAACTTCAGCGATCCTGGGTTTAACTACAGGGTAAAGCACGCGTGGTTCTCTTTAGAGCCTCTCAAGGTTCCTGCTGCTAGAGTCTAAAAACTCAAACCCAAATTAGGGTTAAAAAGAATTGTGTCCACTCTGCCAACAATACTCATCTCCTTCAGGTCTTCACTCAAATGTTAACCTTTCAGAGAGGCAAACTCTAATCACCTACTTAAAACTGCAATCCCTTCTCACACCTACCCTGGCCATCCTCAGCCTCACAGTCTGTGTTCCATTTTTTGCCTGTGTCATTTGCCATTTAACATATTATCTATTCTATTGTTTTCATCTGTTAATCATCTGCTTTTCTCCATTAGAACTTAAGCTCCACGAGGGCAGGGATTTCATCTGTTCTATTCTCTGCTAAATCCTCCTTGCCTAGAACAAGGCCCCACACAGGGCTGATGTGCACTCTTCATTGAATTAATTCATTAATCGATTGATTCTTTTTTTTTTTAAAGAGCAACAAATAGTCATTCCACAGAATAGTTTCTTCTCTACAGTAATTATTAGCCAAGTAACTCAAAAGAAGTATGATTTGGTCCAGAGTTTTCTCTCTCTCTTTTCTTCCCCTCTCCCAGTCAGGGATTTATTAAAATTAAACAGATTAGATGGAGCTCCCGATACTAAAACTGCTCAGCAAAGCCTGCGGTGGGGAAGTGCCGAGCAAACACCAGAGACATTTGTCTCTAAATTGCTCTAAATACCTTCTGCAAATGAAATTCTAGCCCAGCTGCGTTTGAGAGAAAATGAGGAATAACTGGTCATTGTCGGTGGAAGAGAAGATCAGGCAGTTATAATATTGCACAATATACTGGGGCTAAGGATCTCTCGGCAACCATAGATTTTGTCTCAGGTTACCCCGGGTAATCAGCACAGCTTTTAGGCTCAGCTTTCCCCAGCTTCAATGCTTTGATGAGAGAGCTGAAATCCCTAAGCTTTTATGATTAATTACTCCCCAAAGGTACACATATTTCAAGGAAAAACTCTTTTATGGCATGATGCTTGCAGAGTGGAGAGGCCAGCCAACACACTCCAAATTTTAATAATCTCCTAATGACAGGGGGCGGGGGTTGTGCGTGGACGGTGTAGGCGCACAGAGCCCCTCACCAACTCTGTCACAGGGCCCAACCTAGAGGCCATGAGCCATGCCTCTAAGCAGCTGTTGCCTGGGATAAAATGTTTGGAGTTATTCTCTCACCACTAAACCCTGTTATGCAGCCCTGGGACACTACTGTGTAGAAGAATCAACACTGTCCTGAACGTCCATTCAGGGGCCATCCTGCGCAGGTCTAAAGACACTACCAAACCACTCCACCCTCTGGTCCAGTCCCAAACCACCTAGAGCTCAAAACTCTGAACTGTGAGGCTCACAGTCCAGGTCCTAAAGGAAAAACAGTTTTGTTGTGAGGAAAAGACAACTCACTTTTTCCCCTAATGGTAGGTAAGAGTCTTTAAACAAATTCCTAGCTTTCTAGAAAATTAAATGTTCAAAGAATGGAAAGTCAGGTTTCTTTTGTTTGTGTATCTTGTTTTGTTTCTTTTGTACTTGACTTAAAAAAAAAAACCTAAAATTCCAGCAGAGTCAGAATAGATTCTGCCTGCTTTAGACAATATTGAATTTGTCAGGATCCATTTTATCCCTGTTACAGAAATACCATAAAACCAGTAATTTACCATTCAATCTGTAAATCGGGCTGACCCCAAGCTTGACCTTAACCTGACCTTGTTTAGTCATCTAGTTTCCCTCGTCCTTCATTTCTTTCTTCTTCATTCTTTACTGAAGCGGCTGACCTCCTAACCTAAGGCCAGCCTGCAGCCAGGGTCATTAATAGAAGAACACAGCAGAAAGCAGAAGTCCTCCACAGTCTTATTCAATGGGCCTCTTTTTCTATCAGACGCTGTCTTTGCCATGATGTTTTGAGCTAGCTTTGGCTTTACTGTATCTGGTGCTCAATTACTCGAATCCCATGATCTCTCTGCTCCACCGTAATTGCGGAAAGGAACCTGCATTCCCCCTGGGGGGCTCTCCTCACCACCACCACCACCACCACCACCACCCACCCACCCACCCACACACACAC